CAATCTAGTTGCTACCCTTCAGCATCCAGCTCTTCAGTCAGATACTTGCTCCCTACTTAAGCCTGGCATAGAAAGATGCATGAGTTCCAGTTTCTTACTGTCTTTGTCTCTGCTGTGCAAATGCTGATGAATGCACATCCCCTGAAGATCATGTTAATGAGCCTCTGGTTCTTTGGGCTTTACAGCCAGGAAGGATTTGGTACTGCAAAACTTAGCTGCATCCAAGTCCAAGCCAGCTCTTTGGGCCCCAGGAAAGATTCACTCTTTTCCCTACCTCCCCTGGATGTAGTGTTGCATATGAAGACTAGGCTTTATCCTCTGTACAGCAGTGTAACAGGCTGGGGACCAAAGCAGAAACATATGGACAAATAATGAGAGAGCTTTAATTCTGACAGTGCATCCATCTCTTCCTTTGGATATATCACAAACAAGAAATATTGAAGTGCCAGTTAAGCAGCATACAATTATTTGCAGATTGTGTGTCAGAATTTTACATTTCATTTGAAGCAAGAACCATTTTATTAGTTCAGTATTAGATATTTGTAATTTTCCAGGCTAAAAGGATGCATTCCTAGGACATGCTCCATTTTTTCTTTTGGAACTCTATACACACTCCACTTCTTGGGAGAAGGATCAGGGAGAGAAAAAGATATGTACAATAATAGCTGATAAATGGAGGCTTTCTAGAACTTGGCTTCTGTCACTGAAAAGAAGAAGACTAAAAGACCCTGTACATCTATATCATACATCTTGGAAGAGAAACAGTGGGACTGAAAAATATGAGTAACAGATGATATCAAAGGCTAAAAAAAGGCAGTCTGTTAAAATACCTGGTGCTGGTTTATAGCCTGCTCTAGGAACTATGAAACAGACAGCATCCTCAAACATAAAGGACTTCAATTTACCTCTTATAACAAACCAAAACTTGAAATTACCATCCTTAAGTAACGTTTGTCTTTGTATTGGAGTCCACAAATAACAAAAAGGGTTGGGGACATGTTCTTTTTTTGTCACTTGGGATTTTGCCATTTCTTCTCTCGGTGGGTAGCTCATGACAATGTGTCCCCTGAGTTAGACAAGTCTGTATTCACAAAAATAGGAAAAAATTATCTATGGGCTGCCACCCATACAGTGGTACGTGACAGGGGGACAAGCAAAGCAGCAGCACCTTCATCTGGCCACCCCTTTTCTTTCTGAGTGTTTACCACCTGCACAGCAGGCATGGCTCAATGGCTTGTGGGCTCACCTCCAAGCCACGGGAGTTTATGGGCTGGCGGATCCGCGTAAGCCGAGGCTGGCGTGAAGTCTGGCAGTCTGAAGCTGGTTTCACGAAGCATCCAGTTTTGCCAGCTGCAGGAGGGTAATAATTTCCAAGAGAGGGACAGAGCGCACAGCTGAGGGCAGTAACTATCTCAGCTGTCACCATTTATTCCATCACCAAGTTGGAGTGTCAACACCCTCCAAGAGAGACAAAAGTAAAACTGAGTATACAGGCATTGTGGGGCACAGATTTATTTCATTAAATTCAACTTCCCCTTGATGAGTCTTGTCTCTTTAAATTTTCCATCCAGAAAAAGCATGTGCTAATATATTGCCAATTGGAGGAATATATTTTTTGTGCATGTGTAGATCCAGTTGATTTCTTTGGGACATAAATACAAAGGAAAAAGCCATTGTTCTTGTCTTGCTTTCAATTTTCAAGAATTGCCAGTTCTTCTAAGCAGACCAAAACAGATAACAGATGGCACTGGCTAGCAACAAGGAAACCTAGATGCAAATATTGTATGGTATATGAAGAACGTCTCTGATGTGGCAGGGTTATGTTTTCCATCATGGTTTCTAACCAGTTGTGAGAAAAATCTAGTACTAGCACTTTGTGGTATTTAATTGGATGTGAAAGGTGCAAATAATTCAGCTGGTGACCAAATGATAAAATTGGTAATAAATTAAAAAAAAAAGTCTCCAACCTGATAAAATTAATATAAAGGGACTCGATATACTTCCTGGTAAAGCCAACAGGAGACTCTCCAGTCATGTCAGCAGATATCCAACCTGCCTGTCAATTTCTGATTTTCTTCCAAAATCCCCATGTACACAGGCTACACTGCAAAAGAGAAATAAAGGGTCTTGTCTGTGAATGCTTTCCTGGCCCAAGTGATCAGTCAGTGGTTTTCATAGACAACAAAATCAGGCACCATGCAGGGTGTCTCAGAGAAAGCAGCAGGTCCAGCATGTCAGCCTCACAGGTGCCCTGAACCCCTGCTCTCCCAAACCTGGATATCTTCACAATGAACCAGGAGCCACAGCTGGGCTGAACTACAGGACTGTGCCCTGTATGGTGAAGGTTTCTCAGAGCTTGCATAAAGCTGTTTCCAATTTAGCTTTGGTGGAAGTCAGACTAAACAAACAAATGGGTATCTCTGCTGCAAACATCTATGCATGGGGAAACACCAGGAGCGACTTTGAGGAGGCAGTGAGTGATGCCCTTGGGGGTACAGCACATGGGAGAGGCATGTCCACATGTAGATGAGACATCTGGTTGCAGCGTGATGAGTGTTCATATTTTCCACTTACTCCTGCCCACAATGTCACCTCTACCTCTGCTTTTAAATTGAAGCCTCCACAGCAGAGAAAGGCTGCACATGTTAAGAAAACCCTAAAATCTCATGAACTTCTCTTTCCAATGAAGAGTGAAACTCCTCTTGTAGCAAATGAGTATCAGATCCAAACCCTAGAATGAATAGTAGGGTCTGAGCAGCTGGAAAGTTCAGATCTAATGTCTTAGTTGGGTGAGATTACCATTAAATGCCTTTTTTCTGCAGAAATGGGTGCTTGCCAAATCTCCAGTGTAATATTTGCTTCTTGTGCTGCAGAGCTCTAAGATATCAGACCTTCTATGTACAGCAGCAGACAAATGCACTCAAAATGACAAAGCAATTTCTCGTATTTACTCTCTTTGCCTCTACTCCCAGTGCCTGTAGAGGCAAATCTATGGCAGTGAGCACAGTCTTACCTTGTTGGTAGAAGGATGTGTTTCTAAATGCTCCCTGATTTTTTTTTACTAGAACATGTTGTGGTGCCAGTCAAATATTGACAGAAATTTGAGAGAGCTGTGACGTTCAATTGTTCATTGATGCTCATAAGTTGTGTGCCTTAGTAAGTTACTTTGCTGGTAAAATACCTTTTTCTTAGCCCTTCTCCTATTTAACACTGAATCTGTGCCTATAGAGAGCATCAGAGAATCAGGAGTTTTCTTCATCATATGTATAAAATGCAATTTTTCTTTAAAGTGCTTCTTAATACTCTTTTTGTGTTCAAGTAAAGCTGTAACTGAGTTCACTGAGGTTTGCCCATGCAAGGAGCAAAGGCTCTGTCCCCTTGGGATTACACAAGTCATTTTCTAGTAATTTGTCTGCTAAGGTGACAGATTTCCTTATTATAGCACTGAAAACAGGAACTTCACTGTCTTCTAACAGCAGTGGCTTTACGTATTTTATGATACTGAGCCAAAGGCACTCTCTTGTCAGCTGGAGTTGGTGGCTGTTTGGTTGGTCTGGACATGAGAATTATCTACTTCCCCTTCCTCTTTTTTTTTTGTTTTTGTTAATGAAGACTTTATACCTGACTAAAACACATAGCTGTGTTTTTCCCTTCAGGTCATGTTATCGGAAGCTTTGAGTTGGAGGTGGGAGTAAAAAAGTTCACTTACTAAGTAAGATTAAAGAAATTAAAGTCTAAGGCTCATATTTAATTTTCCCTTGTAGATGTAATTTTTCATGCAGTGACAGCATCAGAACCTTTTCAAGTTTTATAGCTATTTCACATTTGGCAGAAACAACAGGAAACCATCTGTAGCAAAGCAGGATTGTTGTAAGCATAATATTCAGTAATGAAAAAAAAATTAAAAGAAAACACTGTTATCTTTATGTGATAACTTTGAAGGTGCAAAGAGCAGGATGCTTGCATTTGCTACTAACTTCATAAAAATTTTCTAGATGAGTCAGGCATGGAAAAAATTATTATTTCAGCAGAAGGAATAAATCCAACAAGAAATTTGACTTTTGGTTTCTTGTTGAGATTTCCATGATGACTGTAAAGATGCTTGTGGTGAGGAAAGTTTATATGCCTGTTTTCTGAAAAACGTAACTTACAATGGTGGAGCTTATGAGCACACACACAACTTCAAATAGTCACATTGTCTCACAAAAGGCAAGTAAGCTCCTTGTGCTCTTAAGCTTAAACTCCAGGCCTGAAAGCCTTTTCTAGACCAGGGAAATAAAAATAAATTGTGGAGATTTAGATGGCTTGTACTGTCCTCTGTTCCCATATGACAGGATGTGTTTGTTCTTGCTTTGCTGTGTTTTCTGTGCTGGAAAGGAGACTTCCAGACTGAAAAAGTGTATACTCATTGCTTGCAGGTAAAATATTACTTTTTGCTGAAACTTATTTTGTTAACTGGGCTGTCGCATCCCAAGGCTGCAGTTTCAGGGGTGCTCATGGTAGCCACTGAATATTTCTGAAGACCATGGTCAGTCCTGTAAAGTTGTTACATTGCAAATATCCTTGTCAGAATGTCCATTTAAGAAAGGGAAAGAACCGTTTTTTCAGGTGTGTCCTAAAATTTAGCCTGGGCTAAACCTGTCTGTAATTTCTTCTACAATTTCTTTGTCACTGACAGTGTTTCACATTTTAATAATCAGACCTAGTTTTAAGATAGCATTTCACTGTGCAAAAGTCAAAATGTGTCAGGGAACTGCAGTATTTTCTTGTTATTAATGTCTTAAATTATAGCTAGACACCCTGTTTTTCCAGTTTTCAAGGCAAGTTATGAAGGCTTTTTTTTTTTTTTTAGTGCTGAGCTGATGAGACATTAAAGGTTTCTTTTTCAAATAGTTTGGCTGTTGGGTTGCTCCTTTCACTCACACCTGCCCCTTAACTTAGAAATCGTCTCCGCCTCTTCTGCATCAAACACTGAATTTACATAGGCACAAAGAAAGTGTGGAAGGCCAACAGCTCGCACCGTCATTAAGATGAGAATGCAAGAAGAACAAAGCAGCACAATGGTAAGAGAAATCTAACAATACCCTGCCTTGCTGCGAGTCTGACTAACCAGGGCTTTCCCACAGGAGGGAAGGGTGCTGAGGATACCGCAGGATTAGCAGATGCATGCAGGGCTGCTGGCAGTGACTAAGCCAGCAACAGAGAGAGTCGAAGTTCTAGACATGAGTCAGGTTTTGAACTTGTTGTGGTTTGTAGCGGCTCAAAAGGCTTTGTATGGCATCACTGCAAGTCTGTGACTGCGAAGTGATGGGCTTACGGCTGGTAGAGCCCCTGGCTGCTTTGGGAGAGAGTGCTTGCTTTCAACAAAACACTCGAGTGGAGCTCAGCATCCACAGCACAGCCTTGGCATTATTTTAATGCCTTTACCAAAGTGTCTGGCTTATTAATTCAGTAAGATCTTCCTAATTACGCAAGCCTCCCTGGAGAATTTTAGAGATGCTCATAAGAAGCATCATACAATTATTTCTTAAAATATATGTGACAGAAATAAGACAAAAGCAGTGGAATGATACATGCGTTTAGCAGCTAAAGTAAAAAAAATTCTCAGCATGCATGCCTTTTCTTCTGGAATTCTAAAACACGGAAGGAAAATGAGAGGAAAGTGTGATTTGTTTTTGCTTCTTCAGAAGTTTCTGTTCGTGCCTTTTAAAACAGTTTGGCATAAAGATTTGAGAGGGAAGACTTGAGATGCTCCCTCAGTCCTGATGTCGTGGGTGTTTTTGCTATTTATTTTAACAAATTGTTGATGTACTTTTATCTGCTGTTGCCTGTGCCTATATCAGAGATGGACTAAAACTGCAGGAAAAAGTGCAATTGCTGCACAAGCTGCTGAAACTATATGTGTTTAATCAAAATGAGTGAAAGATATCTGCTTTTCCCCTTGCAAAGCCAAGTGCAAAGACAGTACTAACAGCTCAAGTTTCCCAGAAATACATACAGAAGCTGCTCTTTGTGTTATTTTCCCTACAATTACTACTTCTAGATGGATTACTTTACCAAGAGATGCATACAGACCTTTGCTTAGCTTCATAGACATGTCCACTTTTGCAGAACAGATGCAAACTCATAAACAATTCTGCTTAACTTTGCAATATTTTTCATCTGGAGTTTTCATGCTTTTTTTGTATATATAGATGAAACACCTTTTCTTAATCACAGAAGAGCAATTAGGACTGGGTGTGTGAGAAGTGCACAGAATAACAGGCACTCTCTGAGTCTTTGATTCAGCAGCACTCTGAGGTGAGCAGCAGGTACTTGCTGTTAGATCATCTTCAAGGACTTAATCCCAAGGAGGAACCTGGATGCCTAGCAGACAAGTCATTTCATATGCTAAGTCTGAAACTTAGATACTAAGAAATTTTGCTTGCCTCCTCTTCACTGCAGAGGTACCTACATACCTCAACACCCACGTTTGTATCCAGTGAGTTCCTTGCATGCCTGAACGTGTGCTTCTGGACATGCTTTACCTGGCTTGGCCTGTGCTGGATGAGCAGATCCACATGCCACATGTCAAATTCTCCTGCTGAGAATGGTCACACTGAGCTCAGGGAGCTCAGGTGGGCAATCTGGACTCAACCTGTTCCTCAACCTGTGGAGACTTTAGCTGTTTTACTCACAACAGTGTCCCCAGCCCCTGCTTTTGTGCGTTCCAAAAGAGGTGTTTGTCTTTCTATCCCTTTTGGTTTTTAACTGTCACGTCTTCCTAGGCATAAGTGAAAATTTGGAGAGCAAAAGAAAAATAATACTGCCACGTGGTGGCTAGGGTGTCCATACACACTTGCCAAAGTGTGTGGAGATCTAGGCTCTGGGTAATAAGATATCTAAATTTAGCTCAGAGTAAGAACCAGAGCCCAGTTTCCAAACCCTGGCCCAGGTGGTGCCCCAGTCACTAGGTTTGGGAGTCATGTGTCTGAGTGAAAAAGAGACAAAAACTGTCTCATGCAAAGCAGAAAAGCTGCAAAAGGAGGGAGCTGGACAAACCTAAGAGAGCCTGTGTAGCCACTCTGCCTGGCCACGGGCTCTTACCAGCTCCCTCTCTCTGGAGCCCACCCAGCCACTTAAGAGGGAAGATTTCCAACACTGTGTTCAAGCAGAGGATCCTGGCAAGTGGAGGTGTTTGGCCTTGTGTTGCCCTGTAGATGATGGGGGTATTAAGTGCAAAGGTATGAAGCAGTGGTAGGAAGGGTTCTATAGGCTGGAATTTGGAGGAAGTCTGGAGGACTGTATGGCAAAGCCTTGTCAGGTTTCTAAGCCCTGCCAGGGTCACGGCCAAGGCATTTTGAAGATTTCTGTTTTGAGATGTCTCTTCCCTGACTCCGGGTGTAGCAAGGAAGCAGCCACCTTCTGGGTCCTGCTGTGGAGCACTGAGTTCATTATGGCACTGTTCTTTTTGTGAATCTGGCCTGACTCCCAGTGAAGTAGGAAACTTTCCTGGGAAAAATACTAGACATTAGTCCAGGCTAGTTAAAGTCAAAGATGGCTAAGAGGCAAATAGCTTCAGGAGAACTAGTTTGCATGAAGAATGATTTCTGATGGATCAGTGTCTTGTGACCAATAGACAGCTCCAGCTGAAACTTTTCCTACTGGTCTACAAGGTCTTTGCAAAGACCTTGCTGCCATGTGCATTTGTCATTGGCTCACAAGTCACCCTTGTCACATGCTGTAATGCACCATGAAACCTCTGGGGTCTGCAGGGGAAAAGGGCTGGGGGTGCACAATTAAGCTGTGGAAGTGTGGGAAATTGCTTCATGGCCACACAAAGCCCATTTGCTTTGGAATCCACTTAAAATTTGGGTAAATGCACACAGTTTTAAAAAACCAAAACCACAAAGTAGCGAATATCCAATAACCCTATGTCTTTGGCACTCTCTTGAGATGCAGGTGTTGGAAATTCAGGTCCCTGTTCCAAATTAAACAGAGGGAGTATTTGATGTTGTCCCATTTTACTCAAAGTGTGTCATACACCTGCACCAATAAATTGATCTGTGGAAACCATATACTCCTCTGAAATGTGCTAACCATAGCCTGTAATCAAGCCTTTAGCCCTTACTAAAGTTACAGCAATACATTTTAATCTGTTGAACAATAATTATTCAGAGTGCAAGCAGAGAACACAGCAGAGATTTAGGAGAAAGATGTTGCAGGGCAAATTTCAGTGAAGGGGTAATAGGTGGTATCAATGTGGTCATCTTAGGTTTGTATTTCCAAGCTTTTGAGTGGCTTTGAAGTTTAAATGTTCTACAGTAACTATAGCGTTTTCTGAACACTGACATTTGTATTGTAAACTAATTGGTTTTGGTTGAGAAACTGCTGACTGAGCTAATACACCTTTCTGTTAGTAGGCACGCTGACTTCAGCTGCTGATGCTGCTTTGGGAACAGGAGCAGCACAATTTGATCTTTATGTTTTAAAGACTGAAGTTACTCCCTTTTGGAGAAGTTTGCTTTTTTGGGCAAATAAATTAGGGAGAACCATTTTGTATCTCTGTATACAGCTTTGACTTCTTCCTACAAGAGAAATAAACAGGACATCAGGGATTTGAGTGAGAAGCTTTATATATGCAACAGTCTGGGCAAGAAAAATGTACGGAACTGATTCCATGCAGCCAGGCAAACTCAGTCATTGTTTCCTCAAGGCTTTAAATTTATGTCACTATGAGGTGCTAAGAGACAGGGCGATCTTACGGTGGTTTTTTTTTGTTTTTCTTTTGTTTTTTAAAGATTTGTATATCCAGTATGTCATGACATGACAACAAAGATGAAAGGGTTTTAATTGGCATATAATTTATGTGGGTTTGGGTCACTTTTAATTACATGTGAATAGTGCAGAAGAAAAACAACAAACATAGCTTATTACTAACAAAGAAAAATGCTACCCTTTCTGCTGCACACTTGTGGGCTGAGATTTGACATAATTAAGTTCAGTGTAAAAATAACTCATCTATCAATACCATCATTTATCATGAAAGGATGAGCTCTCTTGTAATGCATGGTTTGAATTAACTGTCGCTTGCTGTTGAAGTGCCTGAGATGCTGTGTACACATTTGGCACTTATATGCATACATGAGTTTTTGTAGATGTCTTTTGGAGCCGGAGCCAAGAGAGCCAATAAAACAGACTCTGAAAGCAACCTGAGCACACATGTGAACACAAGCACTTGCTATGCACCGAAAGCTTTGTCCTTTAAACAAGTTTCCTGTTTGCCTTTTTTGGAGAAGAATTAGCTTTCGTTGTTCTCTGTTTTAAAGCTCTTCACTTTAACATGCCCTCAGGTCCCTGCAAGGTGACACTTTAGACAAGCTGTAAAAGAAATGTAGTTCCTCAGCTGCTGTTGTGCACTTGATAGTTTTATCTTCTAGAAATTATGTTTCTATAACCCTTTATTTATTTCAAGTAAATAGTCATGGAAAGAAATAATTTTCTCTTACAGAGTTTTGCTATAGAATACATTGCTACCACTACAAATATAACTTTTCCACTACTTACGCAGAGCAACACATTTAGTCAGACTAAGCCATCTTGACCCTGAGATCAGCTCAGCTGGTTAGAGCATGGTGCTAATATCACTGAGGTTGTAGGTTCAATCCCTGTATGGGCCATTTGCTGAAGAGCTGGCCTCAATGATCCTTGTGGGTCCCTTCTAACTAAGAATATTCTGTGCATCTTCTAAGAGCTGTCCCAGAGCAGGGCCTGAGGGACTCCAAAGGACTCTGAACCAGGCAGGCTGTCCTCAACTCTTGGAGAGAAACATTGTGCCAGGAGGCAGGGAGGGGGTCTTCTCACAGCCCTCTCAAGTCATAAACATGCTGCTGTATTTCAATCTGCAAGATGGTCTTGACATTGACCACACCTTTGCAGGCAGAGGCTGATGACACATGGTGCCAAATTTCCCTGGTAGCAATAGACCCGAAGTAGGCAAGAGTGAGTTACCTGGGATTTCTGTCCAGCCATCTTCTTTCTATGGGGGAGGTGAATGGCTGTGGAGAACAGGTGCATAAAGGGA